TGGTGCTCTCCAGGCTCAGCCCGTTCACCTCCGTGATCTTGTCCCCCACGCACAGGCCCGCTCGCTCTGCTCCGGGGAGAGGGGCGGCGGGTGCGGGCCATTTGGGAAAAGTCCCCCAGCGGGAGGCTGAGCCCCCATCAGACCAGGCTCCCTGAGCTGAAACTTCTTCCCTGAGATGTGGGGTTCCAGGTGGGATGTGTGTGTCCCATATCAGACTGGGGACCTTCCAGGAGCCCATTCCGCCCTGACAGGGGGCGCCATCTCCCCATTAGATCAGGCCCTCCAAAGCTCAGGATTCTCCCTCCCATCCCTGACAACAGAACCCCTGCGCCCCACCAAGGTGGGGTCACATACATCCCAGGACCTCACCCCCGGGGACCCCGCTCACCTGCGCTGCTCCCCTCCTCCACCTTGCTGACGAAGATGCCCAGGCCGTGCTCAGAGCCGCCACGCACGCTGAAGCCCAGCCTCCCCGCCGGACTCTTCTCCACCCGGACTGCGTGGATGATGTCGCTCTCGTCGCTGTTGGCTGTGGGGATGAGAACGCAGGCCTGGCTCCCATGCCTGTTCTGAACACAGTGAGCCCCTGGGCTCCCCAGCTTGGCCTGCAAAAGCTGGGGTGCTGGGTTACAGGCATCTAGGGACCTTCATGAGGGGGGCAGCCAATTTCTGAGTTTCCTCTGGGTGACTTTGAGACTGTGGGCTAGGGAGGGGGTGGGAGTAGACAGGACAGGACTCCCTGTGGGAAGACACTGTTCTCATAATGTAGGTGTGTGTGTGTGTCTGATGCTTAGCAAGCTTCAGGTTCCCATGCCCACAGGCCTACGATAGGCCAAATACCTAAAAATAATGGTATTCTGAGGGTCAGAGAGATAGAAAAGAGGTTTAAGAATCCGTTCTTTGGAGCACAGCTGAGGGAGTCTGGGCTCTTCAGCTTGCAGTGGAAGTGAGTATGTCAGCTCCATCTTTAAACAGCTGAAGAACTGTTCTGTGCAAGGCATCAGATGTTTCTGACTGTGCAGCCCAGTGGACAGAGCAAAACCCACAAAGCAGAATCGAATGGAGGCCCACTGAGCAAGGGAAAGCTTTCTAATACTTTCAGCTGCCAGACACGGAACGAGGTTTTCAGGTGGGAAAGTGAGTTCCTCATTCTTGGAGGCATACAAGCTGCCACTTGGTAAGGCCCTGTCTGGGGTGCTGTGGAAGGATCCCTGAGGTGCCTTCTGACTCTTGCACTCTGAGATTCTGGAAGCAAAGGCTCAGAGCTCCCTGACTGTCTGAAGAGAGAACCCCAAAGCAGCACCATGTGCAGCACAGAGTGGTCCGCTCCATCAGCGCTGGGGAAGCCAGAGGAGGAGGGTCCCCAGGGGCTGCAGCTGTCAGGGAAGGATTCTTGGAGGACTCAGGTGGGTGGACTTTGGATGGGTGGAGGGAAGGGAAGGCATTGATGAAGGATGGAGTGAGCAAAGGCTCAGAGGTGGGTCCTTGAGAAGGCCTTTTTGTTGGAAAAAAATGAGAAGACTGGAGGGATGAGAAGGTGAGATTTCTTCTTGGGGCTTACTCCAAAATTCTCTCTCTCTCTCTCTCTCTCTCTCTCTCTCTCTCTCTCTCTCTCTCTCTCTCACACACACACACACACACTTCTGTTTCATCTAAGAGAAACCAGAGCAGCTCATGGAGAAATCCCCAGGGCAGCCTGTGGGCAGGGTGGTGCAGTACAGAGACGTGGGGATCCTGGGACTTCCAGGGCAGTTCCCCCGCGCCCACGTCTTGTAGCCCCTCTGGGGACTTCTGCTCCATGACCAGTGACAGTGGTGACCCTCAACAGGGCCCTGCTGCTCCCCCAGGGTGAGGCTGAGTGTGTGGGTGATGGGTGTGCTGGACCACTGGTGGAGCAAAGGCCGATCCCCGAGTTACATGCTGCACCCCCGCCCCAGAGGCCCAGATGGGTCAGGGGGAGGATCAGGGTCGGAAGAGTTCAGTCTAGGATCCAGCCAGGGCCCTCTGCTGGCTGAGGGACGGGAGGGGAGCTGGAGAGAGCTATCTGGTCCCATCTGCAGAAAGCCCAGGCCTGGAGAGCCCCCACTTCCCTGCTGTCATCCAAGGTCCTGCTCTTTGTTGTCTCACACCTGTCACTGCAGCCAGGCTGTCTCTTCAGGGCCGCCCCATCATGCTCCATGCTTTCTACGCCCATCCTTTGTCTGGGATACCTCTGCCCCATCACCAGCTGTTCTCCTTGCCGTCTCTAAGCCCTGCTACACCGTAAATTTCTGAAAGTGAAGACTGAGCCTTCTTTCTCTCCAGGTTCCCTGCAGGCTCTAACCAGGGCTGGTATAGAACAGTGCAATGAAGTGGCAGTAAGCATCTACATAAGCTCAGGCCTTCCCCTCCTTCAGGGCCCAGCCAGGGGCTCCTTCCCTGACCCCCACCTTCCTTTTCTCCACACTCTTCTAAACATTTGGTACTCTATCCTCACTTCCTTCCTTTTTCATGTGGAGCCTTTCATTCCGTCTGCCCAACTGGGCCCTGGCTCCACCCCCACCCCCTGCTCAGCACAGAACTGGACACACAAAAGGCATACGCAGGTGGGTTTGTACAAAGGTAGCGTCTATGAAAAAAAATAAAATAAAACCAGCAGATGAGCAAAGCAGGACCTTGAATGACAGTAGGGAAGTGAGGGCTCCCTGGGCTGGGCTTCCTACAGACAGGACTAAGTATCTTCAGCTCCTCTCTGTCCCTCAGCCAGCACGCTGGCTGAATCTTAGACTGGACATTTCAGTCTCTGCCTAGCTCACTTGGGGCTGGCATCACACACACACACACACACACTCACACACACTCACACACACTCACACACTTCCCCCGTGGCTATGCCCTATTTCCCACCTCTGACCTCTCTATAACCCTGGAGTCCAAAAGGATGGGCCTAAAGGAGCAAAGTAAATGAGGAAGCGTGTGTGGCTGTATGGGTTCCCAGAAGCCCCACCCTCCATCCTCGAGGCTCCCATCTCTTGAGTTCCCCCACCCATACTGGCTCTGCCTCCTCCTTCTTTGTGCCATATGTCCTCCCCTCCACCCCCCTCGCTCGGGCCTGTGTCCGGGCCCCACCCCCACCTTCGATGGGGGAGTTGATGAGGATGACACGGCCCATGGGAGACGAGGCTCGGATTCCGCGGGAGGGCCCATTCAGCAGCCGCTGTTGCTTCCTCAGCAGGTATCGCGTTGCGGAGCCTGTGTCGCTGCCCAGGTGGCCTCGGGAGGAGAGGGAGCTCAGGGAGCCAGAGCTTAGGTCTCCAAGGCCCAGTGGGTCGAAACCCACCGAGAAACCGTGCGCCATGGCGGCTGGGCTACAGGCCCAGAAGGAACCTGCTGGCCCTCGAGGGGAGGGCTCTGCATGCTCCGGGCTCCATGAGCCTCTGGGCAGGACTGGGTTCCCAGGGAACGGGACCCCTCACCTCCGCTGCCGCTGGAGTGTGCACTGGGCCTGCGCAGGAAGAGGGAGGGAATGCAGGAGGTGTATGAATGCTGCCCCCCCCCCCCCGAATTTCCACCCCTCCCTCTGGTTTGAGCATCCTGCCCTCCCATGCCTTAGGCCAGAGGACTGCCCAGTCCGGGCACCACCATGGACCTTTGGAGCTCTTCACACAAGGCGGGTGGGGACCCCTCCTTCACCCCTCACTCCTGCTCTCAGCTGAGTCATCTGCTCGGTCCTCTATCCTCCAAGGAGGTTGAGTGGAGAGGATGGGATTACTGCAGGCCCTGGGCTTCAAGCGGTGTGAGAGGAATTGGGGCCAGGGCAGTTTATTGCTCACCTCTCTTGTGTCTGGGAGTAAGGGGTCAACCAGTATTTGGTGATCAGGCCTCAAGGGCTGGGCTTCAGGACCTGGGACAGCTGCAGCCAAAGCCCGCAGGGATTTCCCGGCCCAGAGACCACCCCTCCTACCCCCACCCCAGGCCCAGAGAGCTGTCCCCTCTGTCCCCTCCTCTCCCGTTTAAGAGGTTGCAAAGCCCTCTCCCAGGCTTTGCAGAGAACCTGCTGGTGTGAGCCCCACAACATCCCCCGCAAACCCGGAGCAGATCTCAGCGCACCGCCCCCGGATCGGTCCTCCTGGTGCCCCCATCTCTGGTTTCTCAGCCCCTGGAGCCCCTCACCTGCGAGTGTGAGCGCGGCCGCCGGCCTCGCCCGCCCGCGGGCGCGAGCGACTGCAGCAGCCGGGGCCCCGCCCACTCCCCCGCCGCGGCTGCAGGAGGGGGCGGGCCTGAGCCGCCCCGCGCTCCCATTGGCTGAGGGCACCGCCAGTCACTCCCTCCCGCCACCTCTCTAAGACACCCGGGACAGCCGTTTTTCTCCCGGGCCGGGCCTGCAGGGCTCAGGACACTCCAGTTGGTGTTCTGATGCCCACCTCGACCGCGGACTCGGGGCGTGGGTCGGCTCCCGCTATCTGTTCAGCACAGGGGAGCCCAGAACCTTGACTTCTCCAGGCCAAGCCAGCCACCAGGGCTCATGGAACTGCCAGCCCTCTGCGGTCAGCCCCCAGGCCTCAGGGAGGGAGGGTCACCTGGGCGGAGCGGGGCGTGAGCCGCGGTGGGCAGGAGTGGACTGGAGCCTGGGAGTGGGACTCTGTAGTGTGACTGGGTGAGGTGTGTGTGTGTGTGTGTGTGTGTGTGTGTGCGCGCGCGCGTCTGAGAGCTGCTTTCTTCACATGCATCCTCCTCCTATGCCAGAAAGTGTCTCTCTGGCCGCTCAGTGATGGCAAGGTCGCAGGGAGCGGCAGCTGGTTCCGGGATCCCAGGGGGAGGAATAATCGTGCTGATCTATTTGCTTCATGCAGACAGAACCTTGAGACTTCTGTCCCTTCCCATCCAGGGCTGGGGTCTGTGGCTGAGGCCAAGGGATGGGGACTGGGGGCATAAGGAAACTGGGGACCTAGTGAGGCAGGGGTCACAGAGGAGAACAAGGATGGGGGTGGGGAAAGGACTGGGTGCAAAGAAGGGACACAGGCTCAAACGGAACAGGGCTGTGAGGGGTGTGGATGCCCAGAGGCTTCGAGGAAGGAGCCCAGGAGACCGATGAGACAGAAGCCACTGCCAAGGCTGCCAACCAGTAAACAGACCGGGAGGTAACCCGAGCCCCGCTGGGAGCACCCACAGAGGACGGCCCCTCCACGCCGCCCGCCCGCCCGCCCGCCTGCCCCCTGCAAAGGGTTCGCCCTGGACACCTAGGCCCCTGGCTGCCAAGGCCAGGAGCCTCCGGAGGCCGGCCAGGGGATTGCAAGCCCCCGCGGCTCCTCCCCTCCTCTTTCTGGCTGCGGCCGCGGCCAGAACTGATCCCTGAGCCCGGATTGGCTCCGGAGGCGGCGTGGGGCCGGATCCCGGTGGCCCGGTCTGGGGGCGTCGCCCCGAAACGACACCCACTGCTCTCAGGCTCTGCCAATCCCCGGGCACGCAGGGCGGACGCGCCGGGGGCAGCCCCCGCCCCTCCCGATGGTTAGCGTCACGCGTGACGTTACACGTGATGGGTGGGAAGGCGGGGGTGAAGCGCGGAGAGCTGCAGAGGCCGGGAACCCAGGAAATTGTGAGTGTTTGGGCAGGGTTTCGGGGTCCGGCGAGTAGGGGGTTGAAGGCTGGGAGGAGGAGAGGAAGGCCTGTCCTTTCCGGGTTCAGTTTGTTAGTCTGTGGGAAAGCCCACGGGGCACGAGGAGAGGTTAATTGGGAGGAAAATGTTAGGGTGGAGCTCTGTGTGGCCACACATTCAAGTGTCTGCAACGGATGGATATGGGTGTAGGTGCATGTGTGTGTGTGTTGGGGGAGGGGGGAGGAGGGGAGGAGGGAGGGATGGCGTGAAAGTAACGGTCTTCGTGGGCCAGTGCCTGCAGGGTGTGTCCACCCTGTTTGTATGTCTGTGTAGGGCGAGTAGGATGGTGCCTTTGTGTGTGGGTATGTGAGTGTGAGTGTGTGAGAGTGGGGAGGGTGTGTCTGCCTGTGAGGGAGGAAGTGTGGGTAATGAGGATTAGTCATTCTGTAGGATTGTGCCCAAACGCAGCCAGATGGCTGATTCAGGCTTTCCTCTCTGTGCTGGGTGGAGGGGGCACTTACAGAATCTCATCTCTTTCTTTTTAAAAAATATATCTTATTGATTTTAAAGAGGAAGGAGGAGAGAGAGGGAAATAGAAACATCAATGATGAGAATCATTGATTAGCTGCCTTTTGCACGCCCCCTACTGGGGATTGAGCCGGAAACCCAGGCCGGAAACGAACCTGGGACTTTTCAGTCCGAAGGCTGACGCTCTCTCCATTGAGCCAAACCAGCGAGGGCAGAATCTCACCTCTTTCTGGAGGCAGGTGGCTTTGGGATGGAAGGGGTGGCTTTCTGGTCCAGCCCTGCCCTGCCCTGCCAGGGAACAAGGAGAGCCGTGGGCCATTCAGTGTTGGTTACACACACCCACACACACACCTGGCTGGCATCAGAGTTCCAGTTTGAGATCTAGGATAGATAAGCCCTAAGATGGCCAATGAGCTCCCGCTCTCTTCCAGTCTGGGTCTGGGTTGTGGGCTGGCTTATGCCCATAACCCAGTTTGTATCCAGGTCTCAGGGCAGCTGGGGCCTGAAGCTGACATGAGCTTAAACATGGGATGCATATAATATGCACTTTTGAGCAAACAGAGCACAAGAGTAGCTGCATGGTTTTAGTTGTTGCTCATGCATCAACCACACACATGTAAATTCTCTCTCATGAAAACCTGCACTCAGCCAGAGCACAGAATGTGTTTTCCTGGTTCTGTCCCCACCCCTCCCTCCGCCCTCAGCCTCCTCCAGTGGTGGCAGGTCCCTGGGCCAGGACGTTGCCTAGAAAACAGCTCCTCCCCCCACGGTTGCTTACAGACCTGGAGTCACCTTGAGCTCCAGAAGGGGTTGGCGATAGGCCCAGAGACCAGAGCAGGGCCACCGGAGGCTCCCCCAGGTGGAGCCCTTGAACCCCCTCCTGGAGTCCTCTGACCCTGCTCCCCGCCCTGCAGAAAATGGGTGAGTTGCCTTTAGATATCAACATCCAGGAACCTCGCTGGGATCAAGGCACTTTCCTGGGCAGAGCCCGGCACTTCTTCACTGTCACTGACCCCCGGAACCTGCTGCTGTCTGGGGCAAAGCTGGAAGCTGCCCGGAACATCGTGCAGAACTACAGGTGACTCCCCTTCCCCACCTGGTCCTGTACCCCAGGTTTCATTCCCTACCGTTAATACAGAACCCTTTGCACCTGTCCCCCATGCTTGAGAGTGACCCTTTCCCAGCCCTCACTCCCTGTCCCTATCTGCTGGAATCACAGACCACTATGGCACAGCACTTTAACCCAAGAGATTTTAGGGTGTTTGGGTTGAGGAAAAGGCCTTTTTATTTATGCCCCATAAACCTCTACAGGGACCCATCCCACTGCTGGGCCACCCTCTGCAAGAACAGAGGGGCTCAGAGTTGAGTCCCGAGGAGGCAGGAGGGCATCCCCTTTGTCTCCAGGAGGAAAAGCCCTTGCAGTACCCCTAGCCATTTTTGACCCACTGGAAACACCAGTATTTGGGCAGCCTCTTTGTGTGGCTAGAAGGGAAAAAGGAATAGGAGCTTTCACTTCAGGAAGATTAGATTCTCTTCTACACACCGGGAGCTCCTTTATTCCCTGATAGGGGACCAGAGTCTTCCCCTGAGCCAGGTGGGCTGGGGAGGGCATACTGCCCCCTAGTGATGTCTGCATGTCCCTGGATGACCTTTGCAGGGCCGGCGTGGTGACTCCAGGCCTCACCGAAGACCAGCTGTGGAGGGCCAAGTATGTGTATGACTCTGCCTTCCATCCCGACACGGGGGAGAAGGTAGTCCTGATTGGCCGAATGTCAGCCCAGGTACCCATGAACATGACCATCACCGGCTGCATGCTCACCTTCTATAGGTAGGTCCCGTGCTAGGGCTCCCTCCCCGAGCACTCTGTCCAGACTAGAGGGTAGCTTGATGACTAGGTGCTTCCTCCCTGGGCCCGGGTGGGCAGAGAATAGTAGGTGGGTGACAGCTCGTGTTAGAATCCCTTCCATTCCTCAGAAGTCAGCCCCGGGGTCCTGCCACCCCGGAGACAGTTGGTGTGCTTGTATAAGTGGGGAGGGGTCACCAGAGCAGGATTCAGGCTCCTCAACTGGCTCCCTCCTGAAGGTTTGGGAATCTCCTTCGGGGTTTCGTTATCAGGGTCCAAGGATGAGGGGCCCGATGGAGGGGAAAGCACTAAGTGTCTTTGTTCCCTCAGGAAGACCCCCACCGTGGTGTTCTGGCAGTGGGTGAACCAGTCCTTCAATGCCATCGTCAACTACTCCAACCGCAGTGGCGACGCTCCCATCAGTGTGCGGTGAGAACTCGTCCGTGTCCGGGGACTCTTCTCCCCGCCCACCATTGCTCTCTCCTGTTTGATCCCGTCTACCAAGGGCCTGTGCAGCCAGTGTCTCCGTGGCCTCCTCTCAGCCTGCCCTCCTGCCCTCCTCCCTGGCCTGAGGACATGAGATCCTCCTGTGTGTGCTTTGGGGGGCCCCACTCTTCTTCAAGGGGAGGGGTTGGGGCTACCCTGGAGCATGGGAGGCATTCCTCTGCAGTGAGACCACCTTCCCACGCCTTATGGTTGAGGATTCCTCCTTGTCTCCCTGAAGGAAAAAGCCACATGCTGGACTGTTCTCCTTCCCTCTTATGTCCTGGCTTTTCCACCCACAGGCAGCTGGGAACAGCTTACGTGAGCGCCACCACCGGGGCTGTAGTCACGGCCCTGGGACTCAAATCCTTCACCAAGGTAAATGACCCCCCGTTCCACTGGTCCCCAATCATCCTCTATCCACCTCCTTCCCCATCACCCTTCTACACCACCCGACAGGCTTCATGGAGCTCTTCCCAGAGTTCCTCACCACCCCATGGCCCTTAGGGCCACTAACGGGCATCTTTCCTCCCCCAGCACCTGCCCCCCCTGATTGGCAGATTTGTGCCCTTTGCAGCTGTGGCAGCTGCAAATTGCATCAACATCCCTCTGATGAGGCAGAGGTGAGTGGCCCCGACTCCTGGCCTGTGCATGCCCAGCGTGGGTGTGGGCACGCCATCTAGTGGTGCACACCAGCCTGAGTGGGGACTGTCCTCTCCCTGAGCATGAGCTGCTGGGCCTAGTCTCAGTCTGACCCTAGGATCTGGGAGGAGAGAGCCAGCCTTTCAATCTAGGATGTCTCAGGGGGCCCTGGGAATAGCTGCCCATGAGGACATTGGGGGAGGGACTTGGGGCTGTGATCTGACCCTCACCCCCTTCCCTTCTCAGGGAGCTACAGGTGGGCATCCCCGTGACTGATGAGGCAGGCAAGAAGCTCGGCTATTCAGTGACTGCGGCCCAACAGGGAATATTCCAGGTGGTGATATCGAGAATCGGCATGGCGATTCCTGCCATGGGTGAGGCAGGGGGGCTGGGTGGGGCACGGGAGGCTGTGGGAGAAAGGGGGTGTAGTTCTCCCAGGGTTTTGAGGGTTCCTGGTGGTAGTGGGAAGAACTGTGAAGGGGGCTCCCCCTTCCCTAGGGTCCCTTCTGTCACTTCACTTACTCTTTCCCTCCCTGCCCTGCTCTCCCCTCAGCCATTCCCCCTGTGATCATGGACACTCTGGAGAAGAAAGACTTCCTGAAGGTAGGTCACTCTCACCTCTCCTGTCCTGGAAGTACAGGTGACTGGGAGCAGCAGTGACCAATCCCTAAGTCTAAGACTTGCCACCTGTTTGCTCCACCCTTGTGCTGCCTCCTCCACCCTCAGTCATTCAGCAAGAACGGATTGCGCTGGAGTGAAGGAACATTGAGCGAACAGGAGGAGAAGATAAGGGAAGGAGGGAAATGGTTTCTATCCGGAAGGAAACTGGTGTTACTCGGAGCCTCTGACATACACCAGGGATGGACTCTCATAGTCACACTTGCTATCGCACTCATGCTGTCACATAATGACAACAATGACACGTGCACACGCACAGACAGGACAGGGAGGCAAGGCACAGGAATACACGCTCTGGCTCATTTGGTGGATCATTTATTCACAAATATGCACATTTGAGTAACAGAACGGGGTCCATGTGGCTGGAGCAAATGGAGAAGAGGGTGCAGAGCAGGAGATGTTTGAAAAGGGACAAATTCATGCCACTGAGATGGGAGGAAATGAGTGGAGGGTCAGAGGAGGGAAGCTACCTAAAGATGGCAGCTCCTGGAGGAAGTGAGGGAAGAGAAAGGGGCCGCGAGTACCATGGGATCTAATTCTGAGGCCAGAATGGGTGAGGGATGGGGTGTTAGCAAACAGGCCTGGCTGGAGCGGAAGGTGGTGATCTAAAGGTTCCACCAACCCTGTTATACGTTTGGGAGAAAGAAAAAGACCATGCATCAGTGGCTGAAAGGCAGGGCTGATGGGATAGAGCCATGGTGAGTGAAATGGGGCAGGGGCAGCGCGGGCAGGGGACTCATGTCATTCCATTGTCTCTGTCTCCCACAGCGCCGCCCCTGGCTGGGGGCGCCCCTGCAGGTGGGAATGGTGGGCTTCTGGTAAGTGCTCAGGGAGTTAGCTAGGGGTGTGGGAGTGTCCTTTCCATGGTGGATGTGGATGGGTATTTATTGCTTTTAAGATGTTCAGATATACATCATTCATTCATACATTGTGCAGGTAGGGGTGTTGGACACCCGTAGGGCATACTGTCTGTGTGAGGGGTTGATCCCTGTTCTTGAGAGTCAGGAGTTTAGTTGAAGGGGTTCCAGTCTTCCTCTCTGAGAGGAAACCATGAGGATATACAGGTTGGTACCATCCAGGAGCTTCATGCACATTGAATTTCCGAGTCCCGCTCTCTGGCTGGAAAACTCTGGGTTCTTTCCTCAGCCAGAACCTGTCAAGTGTTGGCTTTGCTCAGTCACCACCCCTAGGGGCAGTGTCCAGAAATGGGGTGGGGTGCAGGGAGGGAACACCCTTAGGTCAAAGCTTCACAAACCTTTCCAACACTCTTCTCCCCAGCCTGGTATTCGCCACCCCCCTGTGCTGTGCCCTGTTCCCCCAGAGAAGGTAAGTGCTCTCCCCACGCTGGGCTTGGCTGGGGGCTCTGGATGGCCTCCATGTCTCTGGAACCAGCTGACCTTGGGGTCCTTCATCGTGTTCCAGGAAGAGGCCTGGCAGGCACTCAGCTTATTCTGGGGGAGGGGGAGTGGCAGTGACCTGGGCCTCCTGCCCTTTGATGGAGATTCTTCAGCTTGGGAAGAGGAGGGATGGTGGTCCCTTAGCCTCAGGGGGGTTGGGTTGAGGGGACACTCAGCCTGGCTGTGCTGTTCTGTTGCAGCTCCATACACGTGAGCAGGCTGGAGCCAGAGCTGAGAGCTCAGATCCATCAGCAAAACCCCAGCATCAAAGTGGTCTACTACAACAAGGGGCTCTGAAGGAGAGTCCGCCCTGGCCCTCCCTCATCTCCTTGGGCTGCTGTGTCTCTGGAGCCTTGCCATGCTGCCACTTTCTCTTCTGCCTGATATTAAGCAAGGGGCTTGGTGGGGAGCAGCCATTGAGACCAGCAATCCACTAGGCTGGGAAAGGTACCTAATCAGTCTTCTTCTCTCCTCTCTGATTCCAAAGAGCAGGCTCACGTAACCCCTTTTGCTGCACTCGTGTGTCTTTGTATATGTACATGTGATATGTGTGTACACGCTGTCCTGGAAGCTAGGAGAAGTCATGCTGTCCTGGGATGTCCTGGGCTGGCTTCTCCTCTTGGCCTCCTGCCACCAGCCAGCCAGCCAGCCAGGCTATGGGACTTAGTTCCACTGGCGAGTCATTTCTCACAGCACCTCACTCCTTCCGGACATAGGAGAAGCCCCAGGATCTCAGGACAGACGGAGAGACAGGAGCAAACCAAACAAACTGGGTTGAATCCTCCAGGTTTCTGCTTCCTGGCTCCCAAAGCTGACTCGGGAGCTGGGCTGGCAGAGGAAGGCCTGTCAGGCTCAGGGAGGTAGGGGGCTTATGCTCTATCCCCACATCCTGGAATAGATCACTTCCTCTCCTCTCCGCTGCTCTACCAGAACAAAGGAATGCCAGCATCCTGCACTGTTCTTGCCAGCTTCCCCTGCCCCCTCTTCTGCAGTGTGGCCGTCTTCGGGCATAATGCTGGGAGTTCTTTGTCCATTCTACATTATAACCTCAAATTCAAAACCTACAACCCCAACCCTCTCCCAAACCCTCTACCAAAAAGTCACCGAGGCAGAGAAGCATTCCAGAGCTCCCATCGCACCTTCTTCCAGAGGGGCACAGCTGTGGGAAGTGCTTAAACCCCACAGGTATCTGAATGGGTGTAACTAGTACACTCTCAAGGGCAACTAAGGCCACAAGCGTACGATCTTAAGACAGGGAATTTTGTGTTCCTTTGACCCTTGTTAGACACTCCGTAGGACTCTGTCGCCTTAACTCCTTTTCCTTCTGAAGGCTTGGCCCTGCTCCCACCCCCTCCCCCAAGAGGAGGAGGGGCCCAAGCATCAATGGCTAGTCCAAGGCTGAGGTGGGCTTGGGGATGGAGCATGTGCCAGGTGCTAGTAAACTAAGAGTATGGAGCTACATCTTGACCCCCCACTCCCATGACCGCTGGCGGAAGTGGTAGGGTGAAGGCCCCAGCAGGATCCCCTAAGAGCATTTTCCTGCTCCCCAACCAGCTGCCACCAATAACAAAAGCTATGATGCTGTTGTTACTCAATAAACTAAAAACTTGTATACTTCTTTTTAAAAGATATATATTTTTATTGATTTCATAGAGGAAAGGAGAGGGGGAGAGAGAGAAATATCAATGAGAGAAAATCATTGATCGCTGCCTCTTGCACGCTCCACACTGGGGATTGAGCCCGCAACCCGGGAATGGAACTGCGATCTCCTGGTTCATAAGTTGATGCCCAACCAATGAGCCACGCTGGCCAGACTCTACTTCTTGATCTTCACTTGATTCTAGGCCCTGAGTACCTAGGAAGAGCCTTTCCTTCTCTCCCCACAAAGTCCTGCTCTTGGTCTCTTCCCTCCCCTCCTGTAGGGAGCCTCAGCTCCCAGCAGAGGGCACTCTGAGATTAGAAAATCAGTCTTCCATCAGCACCCTGAGCACTAAAGGAGAGGGATTGTATGCAGTAAATGCTCTCCTATTCCCTCAGCAGATGGAGTCCTGGCTTCGTTTTCTTTGCTAGGGGTGCTGGTCACACCTTGGTTCCTTTCAGGCGTTTGGTAGGGGCGGTAGCATCTGGTCCCAGGGAGGCCCCCGCATAGAGGAAGAGCTAAGGACTGCCCAGCGTCATCAGAGAAATAGTGCAATGACACGCCCTCCAGACCCCTGCCTGCCCCCACTGATACACAGGGAAACACATCTCACAGGGACCATTAGCCCCTTAACACCCCTTCCGCCTACCCCAGGGCCCTCTACTCCCTCCCTGCTTCTGTAACCCCCCTCCCCTTTTCTTCCCCCGGGATATATGAGGCTAAAAGCTCATGCCAATGTACAGCTGGTGAGAGCTACTATTAAACAGTTTAGAGTTGTCTCTTTTACCCTAAGCCTTGGCTTTGGAAGATTCAAAAGAATAAACATGAATGAGTCTATATTAAAGTCCATTCCCTATTCACTGTACGAAATACCTCTCATCTCCCTTTTTTCAGCCCAAAGCTCTCAAACTAGGTGGTGGGGAGACATCTTTAGGGTCAAATGGTCCCAGAGCAGCCTGAAGGGAGCTTGTTATCGTGGCCTGGGCTCACTCACTCCTCTCGGGAAGTGAGCAGGGGCAGGGGGAGTGACACCAGCTACTTACTGGTCATTGAGTCCTGCTGTGTGGTGACAGGCTTAATGAAGTAAAAGTCCATTATTGCGTTCAGTCTTCACTACCCCTCCTGCGAGGCCAGACACTTTGTGTTCCTTCTTAGCAAAGTTAAGAAAGTTGCCTACTTGCCAAAACCGGTTTGGCTCAGTGGTAGAGCGATTCCGGTCAAGGGCATGTACCTTGGTTGTGGGCACATCCCCAGTAGGGGGTGTGCAAGAGGCAGCTGGTCGATGTTTCTCATTGATGTTTCTAGCTCTCTATCCCTCGCCCTTCCTCTCTGTAAAAAATCAATAAAATATATTTAAAAAAGAAAAGAAAAAAAAAGAAAGTTGCCTACAGTTACACCACTGGGAGGTGGTGGAGGCAGAATGCAAGCCGAGCGGTGTGACTGAACCCACTGTGCTATGCTTCTTTACCTGCCAGCTGCTAGCCGAACGTGAAGTCCTTTTCCTAGTCCCTTTGGCATTTCAGACCGGCAAAACTGATGGGCCCACATGTGTACATGGAGCTTTTTACTGAAAAGCCACTGAGGGGGTTACAAGTTTGAGGGTTTTATACCTGAAGTAGCATAAGCAAAGCTTCTCGTTCTTTATTTATTTATTTGTTGTTGTTAATCCTCATCTGAAGATATTTTTTTCCATTGCTTTTTAGAGAGAGAGTAGAAGGGAGGGAAGGAGGGAGGGGGGAGAGAGAAACATCTATAGGGGAGACATATCGACTGGTTGCCTCCCACTGGTGCCCTGACTGGGGGCAGGGAGTGAACCCGCAACCCAGGTACATGCCCTTAACCGGAATCAAACTTGAGACACTTCAGTGTGTGGGCTGATGCTCTAACCATTGGACGCACTTGCCAGGGCAAGATTCCTATTCTCGATTAAATAGAGAACCAGTTCAATTCCGTTCCGTTTTATTAGCACCTCCCACCAAGCCTCCTGGAGCCTTGAAATCTCTACAGTTTCCATTTTGGCCTTCGGTAAGCCCCTTTAAAAAAAAAAAGACCTTGCACTTTTATTGGAAATTCTGTGTAATATAAACCCACTAGGGGAGTGAGGTGCAGGAGTCTGTAAAACAAAATCATTAAGAACATTTTACGGCAGAATTATCTGTGCTCTGCAGATAACACCAAACCATCTGGGAGAGAAGACTGGCCAGGGCACCAGTGGGTCAGTTAGGAAGGAATGCTTTCCTGCCATCGTTCCTCATTCCACACTCGCTTCTCAAAGCAAAAAAAAAAAAAAAAAAAAAAAAAAAAAAAAAAATTAGGCTAACTTCACATGCTCTCTAGGGGCAAACCCAAGCCAGGTACATTTTCCAAACTGCCTCCGCTTACTTAGACTTTTCCATAAAAGTCCGCATTTGGGCAGAGGAGGCTCTTTTCTCACTGGAAAGTAATCTTTCCGTTCTTGGGCCTCCCCTCTTCCTCCTTGTGCTCAGACTCCTGTGGGAGCCCACATCTGTGTCCTTGGCCTCCCTCCCCTGCCTCCCTTCCCTGGCCTGGCCTCATCTGCTTCAGAGCCCCCACCCTGCCCATTATTAAGAAAGTCCAGTCCTGCTGCTTTGGCTCAATGGTTGGAGCGTCACAGGTTCGATTCTGGTCAAGAGCTTGTACTTTGGTTGCAGGCTTGAACCCTGCCCGGGGTCTGGGCACATGCAGGAGTCAACCAATCCATGTCTCTCCCTTACATTGATGTCCTCTCTCTCTCTCTGTCTCTCCCCTTCCCTTCTGTTGACTAAAAACCAATGGAAAAAAATCCTCAAGTAAGGATTAACAACAACAACAGAACTCCACCAACCTCTCTCTCTCCCAGCCCAAGGTCTAAGGGAAAAATGGCTTGGTTCCGGAGCCCTGGTTTAGCCTGGCCACAGGAAGGGGGCCATGCATCCTGCTATCTTCCCAGGTCACTGGATTAATGAGACCCATGTTTTAGGGAGAGGTTAATCCCCAAGATTAGTCCCTGTTGGGTTAGGGCCAGCTTTAACTCGGGCCCTGTGGGCTCATGTGAGTCAGACTAGCCTAGTCCTGCGGGGTTCGGTGCCCTACGGGGTCAAGCCAAGCCCCCAGTTTCCTCCCAGTCAAGTTTGTCAATCTCAAGCCAGCCCCGCCCCAGGAGTCTGTCAGTCATCGGTAAAAGCCACACCTCTAGCCAATCAGGAGCAGAGTCCCGCCCCTGATGCGGAGCCTGCCATTCAAAGTTAGGCTTGACTCCACCTTCCCGTTTCCCGGGCAATGGCTTTAGCGTCGCAGGCCTCAAATACAATTCATCTTTTCTACCTGAGCCCGGATCCTACGTCTCCGATCAACTTCCCCGGGTGACCTCGGTCTTGCACCGAAAATCTGCCAAGTCCTCCTTCTCCTGGCCAGAAGCGCCGCAGCGCCCGCCCTCTGACTTCCTGCCTGGTAGTCTTCTAGGTTTTCAAGGAGTCACGGAGGCCTCTCCTGGGTCCCAAGCCCCCGGGACTATTGGCCCTGTCTTTTTTTTTTTTTTTTTTTTAAAATATATTTTATTGATTTTGTACAGAGAGGAAGGGAGAGAGATAGAGAGTTAGAAACATCGATGAGAGAGAGTCATCAATCAGCTGCCTCTTGCACATCCCCTACTGGGGATATGCCCGCAACCAAGGTACATGCCCTTGACTGGAATCGAACCCGGGACCCTTCAGTCCCCAAGCCGACGCTCTATCCATTGAGCCAAACCGGTCTCGGCTTGGCCCTGTCTTTTGCGTCGTCCATCCCGCCCCCTTGCGCCCCATGTTCAGGACACGTTTACTGAACTCTGATAAGAGCGGGCCTCTGTGCTCGGCGCGGGGTGGAAATGACCTGCTGGGTGAACAGATTCCCTTCCCGGCTGCAGGTGCACAGCCTGGACCCAGTAGACCTTAGGGCGCCTCTCCCTCTCCCCTCTATGTCAGTCTCCCCACACGCTGCAGTGACCTCGGGTTCTCATGTGAGGGCAACCTTTTGCTAGAAATTGTGCGGGGATCTTTATCCAGTTGGATCATTTCCCAAAAGGGAGCTTCCTTCTCTCTTCCTAGGTACACAATGTCTTTTTACCGCTGCCAGAGGGATAATGGCACCCTCAGCTTCTGGCCACGGCCTCGTTCAGCTTCCTTTTTTCAGTCTTCTCAGACAAGGGAGGTTTTGCAACTGAATTAACGACAAGGAGAATGTGGGAGGAGCCCTGCATAGCTTGGGCTACACACAAAACCCCTTCCTCCTGCTGAAACTGGTTTGGCTTAGTGGAAACAGCGTTGGCCTGTGGACTGAAGGGTCCCAGGTTCGATTCCGGTCAAGGGCATGTAACTTGGTTACAGGCACATCCCTATTAGTGGGCGTGCAGGAGGCAGCTGATCAATGTTTCTAGCTCTCTATTCCTCTGTAAAAAGTCAATAAAATATATATTAAAAAAAAAAACCTTCCTCCCACTACTTCATACATCCAGTAGGAAAATAACCCAAACAACAAGCTTCAGAGTGACATGTTTGCTTATGGAGCAAGAATTTGCTATGTTAATCTATAAATTAACCAATACCACATGTTATTATTTTTTAAAAATAATTACTGGAAAAAGATTTTATTTTTATTTATTTTAAAGTTGGGTATTTTTTTTTATTGATTTGAAAAGAAAGCAAGAGAAACATTGATTTATGCCATCATTGATTGATTATGTGCCCTGACCAGGGATTGAACATGCAACCTTGGCATATCAGGATGATGCGCTAACCAACTGAGCTCCCCAGCCAGGGCCACCTGTAATATTTCTTTTTCTTTCTTTCTTTCTTTTTTAAATATACTTTATTGATTTTTTTACAGAGAGGAAGAGAGAGGGATAGAGAGTTAGAAACATCAATGAGAGAGAATCATCAATCAGCTGCCTCTTGCACACCCCCTATTGGGAATGTGCCCACAACCAAGGCACATGCCCCTGACCAGAACTGAACCTGGGACCTTTCAGTCCGCAGGCCAACACTATCCCCTGAGCCAAATCGGTTTTGGCAACCAATATTATTTCTGACTGAAGATCTCCCCTCCTCTATCACCAGCAAGTTCTCGATCTTATTTCTTTCTTTATGGGGGTGGTGGCAAATAATGAAAATAATTTTATTCTTTCTCTCCACACTCTGTTAAACTTGCTTTTTGGAAATTAACAACTTTGATTTCCCAGAAGGAGTACTGGCTTGGTTTTCATTGAAGTTACTTTGTGGAAAACAGCAGACAATAATTGTGGCTAGCTTCAGTAAACAGGGGGATGTGTTGGAAGGATTTGTCCATAGCTCTAAGAACCAAAGATGGAGTTAACCAGCTTGGCCTTTGAAAGGGCAGAAAAGTTGGCCCTAGATATATATGTTCCCGCAGCTCAGTCCTTCCTCTCTGTGTCTCTCTAGGATTCCCCAATGCATGGGGATGAGGGAGAGGGTCTCACCTGTAATCAGAGCTACTGTCTCTAACTCTGATGTCTGTCTGCCTCCCCACACATATCAATACCTTTCCCTTTGGCAGTTAGTTCCCTGTGGTGCTGACCTACCCTCTCTGCAGTTTCTTGGGGCTGGCCCCGAGCTATAATCATTTAAGGCATGCTAGAAAGGAGACACCTTTACCTTATTCTAGTCCAGTTCCTATCAAGTGATTCCACAACAGAGCTGCTTGGGCCTCTAGTGATATCATTTCATTTGCATGACCTCCTTTCTAGAGCACCAGGGCACAGTGAGGTGGAAAGTGGTGCTGATGTAAGATTAAGCATCACCCTATAATATACCCAGAAGCCTTGCTTTTTATGATGCTTCTGCTGCATCTGGGTCATCCTGCTGGACTTGCTAATC